CACTCCTATCCCCGAATCCAGTAGAAATGTTTAGTCTTTTGTCAAGGCAAGGCCTAGATTGTTGGCAGAACAGCATATCAAGGCCTAAACCACAGAACACGGTCAAAAACTGGGTGACTATGTACCCTTTCTGCTCTGATGAAGATGAAGATGGGATAAACAGAGGGTCCCAAAAAGCCCCCAGACCCATTTTCAGGGGGTGGACCCGGGGCGGTCCAGAGTAAAGGCCACAGGGTGGACACATCTGGGATTGGATGGATGGTATTATAAAATGTAACATCTCAGGCACGGCCTGCACGCATCTTGTAACATCTTAGCCTTGGCAAAATAAACCCTTTCTTATCTCACCCCTAATTAACTGCTCCAGGAGATTTTTTTCAGCACCTAACTCCCATGGCAACAAAACAAAAAACAAGTCATGAAAGTATATGTTTAATTACGTTTTAGGTCTGGAAGAATATGCTCTTCCGAAATTGTCTTAACTGAAGACTAATGAACATAAATTCAATTTACTTAAAAAGAGGTTAAGAGGAAATTATTCTCAAAAGCTGCAGTATGACATGTGAATTTAAACCCTGTAAGCCTCCTAAAGATATACGTTCTTGGTATTACTTACTTGGCCTTTTAGAGCATAGAACTGAGATTTTCAAATGTGAAGTTTAAGGAGAAAAAGGCCAAAAAATATTAATCGATGATTATTTCTAAAAACAATGTTGATGTACTGGGTCTGAACTACAAATACACTGCTATTCTGTCCAAATCTGCACAGTGATACTTTGTCCTACCTCATATGTGTTTACTAAATTCAGTGTTTAGTAGATTTTGATGAGAACCTTGGACATATGCCTAATATGTCAATATTACCCTGTTGTCACATACATTTTGAAATGAGAGATGTTAAAGACAGCACCACATGACATGCTGAGAAAAACTTCAGCATGAGAAGAGCTAAAGAAGGTGTTTTTATTTTAATTTTCTGACCTGTCATTTTTTCTAGCAATAATTCTCCTACAGAGCTCTCAGTTCAGGAACTTTTCTTGTATATAGTATGCCTATGATGCAGTCACTGCAGTGTGGTGCAGTGAGATGTAGGCTAATACATGTTGAGTTCTCATTTTCCACAGATGAAGTTATTCAGCTTAATGTTAGGCTAAGTGTGTCTTTGCAGTGACTGCAATAAACAGCTTGCCAAGGATCTATTGTTCCTTTCATCAACAGTGGAATATTAATTGTAATTAGGGTTTGATTTGGAACAGAATTAGAAACCTTAGAGGAGAATTCTGAAAGGAATTTGGAGTCTCAAATCTCTTTCTTGTGTTTTTGTAATTGTGCTAATTATGAAAGACAGGTGTAGTTAGGCCTAAAAGATGTTGAAGAGAGTTTTCATATCTATTTCACTTGGACCAAGTTTTGTATATTTATTTCTAATTGTGTTGGTAAAAAATAAAAGGGAATGGTAAAGAAAATTGGGAAACATGCTGTATTCTTCTCATGTAAAATATAATTTATTGTAGAACCTATTCTTTCAAGAAGTTTTCAGGATATCTGAATTTCCTTTCTGAAATTGCTGGACTGAATGAAACCCATAATAGCTCATGTGAAGGATTTAAGAAGACAAGAAAGACAGTTTGATATTTTAGGATGTGTCTCCTGTGGAAGTGTTTTATGGTAGTATGAAATCATCTGTGATAACAATGGTTTTAAATGGATACATCCAATAGGACATAAACGGAGAAAGAGAGAAAAGAGAAAGGGAGAGAAGAGAAGAGAAGGAAGAAAGGAAGGAAGAAAAGAAAGGAAAGGAAGGAAAGGAGGGAAGGGAGGGAAAGGAAGGAGGGCAAGGAAGAAATGAAGGAAAATAAACCATCCAAAAAGTTCAAAATCCTTTGTTCTTCATGCTCAAATGCTCTGGGAGAGGCAAATCTTATTCAAACATGATTATTTAGATTCTTCTGAATTTGAGAAGATGCATGGAGATCAACTGGGTCCCATGAAGAAATCTACTGGTCTGTAGGCCCTGTAGATCAGGCAAAACCGGAACAAGGCAAGAAGGTGCGTTTCTGAGAGTATATGTAAAGCTTCATTGGAAAAAATCTGTAATACTAAACCTGAAATTTTCTTCAAACATGTATTATGAAGTGGTGAATATTACAATAAAGTAATACTCATTTAAATAATGTACTATTTTATGAGTAGGAAAATATTATTCTGTTCTAACTTATGTAATCAACAGACTCATTTTTCTTTAGGCATAACCTAAGTATCAGTGTTATTTGTATTCATTTCTGCTTTAATTGTGTTTCAATTTTAAAATTAAAAAAATAAATCTTTGTTTATTAGAATCTTCATTTTCGTATAAGACCATGGTTATAGTTAACAAGAATAAGAATAGAATTTATTAAATGAGTAGAAGATTATACCTTTGAACATCTAGGTACTTCTGAAATTTTAGTTAATTTAACTAAGAGAAGAATTCTCTATATACATAGAGAGCAAAGTGCAAGAGCTATGATAAATCATACAGATTTATAGAGAAGTTTGACCCGAATGTATTATATTGTTTTTTTAGATCAGATGGAAAGTAAAGCAAAAATGATGTCACTACGTAATCCTTTCATATAACAAATGTAAGAATTTTTAGGTAACTTAAAATAAGAATACATGTGAGACAATTGGTCACAAAAAAGATCAGATTTTAAATTCCTTCTAAGATATGTTTGAAACAGGTTTTGAACTCATCCTGGAGGCTGATTTTCTGGTTTTGCATAGACTTTTTGTTCAGTTTTTGTGAGTCTCTTCACCATTTTGATACCTGTTGAACATGTATAGCTATGGCTTCCAGTTTAACTAGTCTCTTCTAAGGCTTAATATGTATACGTAGAATTCCTATACATTTTTGGATGAATAATGGAAGAGGACTGCATCCCTCTGTCTGCCTTGAAAATAAAATTCAAATTTTCTCAATCATAGGTATAAATTATTTTTAGGTAATCATATGAAGATTTTCACTATAAACTAAGCTTAATCTCTTTGATTCAGGATCACCAATATATTAAATATATTGTGCTTTTCAGATGGTATATTATGAAATATTTCTTCAAAAATATGCAAATTGCTTTTCTCAAGTGATTCACTTATTTTTTAGGAAATACAAGCATTATATGAAAGCTGTATGTTTAGGAATGACACTTGTAACTTACAAAACTTACAATATAACTCACAAAACTTACTATATAAATCACTTTGACATTTTAGATAAGTATCATATTCTCTTTCCTTTTGTGAAAAGAAAGAGAGTTGCTTTTAACATGGGAAAGATAAAAAATATCTGAGTGAATTTTTAATAGATTTATAGCCAGAAACTGAAAAAAGATGAAGTCTTCATGGATGGAAATGACCTTGCAATTTAGACTGTGCAAAACTTTAAACAACCATGGCTGCTTCTGCTTACATATTCATCTTAGTCTTATAATGCCATTGGTGTCACATATTTAATTCATATATTTAATGCAGATGTTATGGAGCATAGTGTCTTGAATGAGTTCACTAGATTTATTTTCCTACAAAGTCTTAGACAGGATTAATGCAATAACCTTTTATCTTTAAATTTGAATATAGGAACAGATCTATATTTGCAAAATTGTTGTGATGAGCTCATTTTAAGTAGTGGTTATTATGCAAATTTAAGAAATACTCCTTTCATCAGCTTCACACAGATCATCGTACAGGAGATCAGGAAGGTTAAAAGAGAAAATGCCACCAAGTCTCTTTTATGGATTCAAAGGAACATTTAATTTATCTTTACTCTACAGTCTCTCTTCCTGTGGAAGAAAGGGGAAAAAAAAGGAAAAGAAATAATTTGTAGAGTTCCTGCAATAATTTCCGATGTCCTTCCTGGAGAGTCCATATCTTCCCTGGAAACAATAATGTTTCCTACCAAAAAGCAGTATAACATAATAGCAGTCTTCACAGTGTCTCTTGAAAGACAATGAGACATACAAGATACTTAGGGCAAGTTATCCAGTTTAGTGGTTTTTTCCTTTTATTGTTTTGAATGTGCAAATATGCACCTCTCTTTTCACTTAGACTCCTTTTTACATTTCACAACTGGATGAAGTACTAAAGCATTTGTTGACTCATTCTTTCCCCCATTGATAGAGACAGATTTCATACAAAACAAAGACTTTCCATTTATGAAAAAAGTTTTGGGTGTGATGGTCCTGGAAAATGTGGTTAAAAAAGTATGAATATTCACTTATTTGGAGAAGATAATTAATGTCAACGGGGTTCACTTCCTCTGTTATTAACAATAAAATACAACTGTTTCTAAGAAGCGAATTAGTAAAACAAAAAACTAAAACTGGATTTGTAACTCATCATCAATAACTTCCACTCACAGACTTATACTGAAAACCTCTTTTTAAGACTTCACACTCACCTGTTCTGGGAGCAGAATAAACTTATTTGGTGAATCATTCAAGAACAGAAATTATTAGAAAAATAAGTATAGCAAGAGGGAATTGACTGGAATAATGGAGTAAAACTGCAGTAAAACATTAGTGAGGTAACAAATTGAAGAACTATAAAATCAAAGAATCACAGGATGGTGATGGTGGCAAGGACCTCTGGAGATCATGCAGTCCAAAATCTTTCCTCAAAACAGAGTCAGCTAGAGTAGCTTTTTCAGTACTCTGTTGAGCTGGTCTTGAACATCTCCAAAAACAAACACTCCACAACTTTGGGCAACTTATTCCAGGATTTGATCACAGTCAAGCTAAAGAAGTAGAATTTCTTGTATTTCAGTTTGTGTCTAATAGCTGTTGTTCTTTCACTGGACACTACTGACTCTAGCTCTTCAATTTTAGTTCCCCATCAAGGTTTTATACACATGGAGCCTTATCTCCTTCAGTTCTCTCAATCTCTTCCCCGTATGACAGATGTTCCAGTCCCTCGGAGACCATGGCCCTTCACTGGCCTTGCTCCAATATGTCCATGTGTCTTATGCTCTCAGAGCCCAGGCTGTCCACACCACCCCAGATGTTTCTCGCCAGCACTGAGCAGAAGGGAAGGATCATCTTCCTCAAGCTGCTGTCACTCTCATGCAGCCTAACAGGTAGGTGGCAATCTTCGTCACAGGGGCACAATGCTGACTTGTGGTCAACTTGTTGTCCACCAAAATCCCTGGTCCTTTCCTGCAGAGCTTCTTTCCAGCCAGGCTTCCTCAGCCTGTACTGGTGCATGGGACTATTACTCTTCAGATGTTGGACTCCAAAATTCCTTTTGTTGAACTCCATGATTTCCCTATCAGTTCATTTTGTCAGGCTGTTGAGGTTTCTTGAACTGGTCTATCAGTCACTTCTAAAGAAGCAGTTACATTTTGCCGTTTGTCTTATGTTTTTTGGGGTATAGGAAGGATAGGAAAGCAAATGTTAAACCAATGAAAACTTCTCTGATTTGGAATCATATTTTTTCTTTGAGCATTATCCAATTGCTATAAAAGACAATTTCATAAAAAGCAATAAAAAAAAGAAAATTATCAGTGGATTTCACAGATTTATAAGATCCTTGTCAAAAATGAAATGCATAATTTGATGTTTCATATTCATGTGATTATGCAATATACCACAGCGTTAAATCTGTAAGTAGCACTGCTGTTAACACTTAGCATTCTGTAAGCCTACCTCAGTATGAATATGACCCAGTATAAGGATGGAGTTCAATATGTTCTATAAGCAGGCAGAGTTTACATCATCTGACTGACTCAGGTAACTGGACATTTTAGATGGTCACATGGAAGTGTTATGCTTTCTGGGGCATTTTAGTTGTACTTCAAAATTGCTTATTTGCATGAGCTGATGTTAGCTGACTGAAATAAACATTCAGCCTCAGCTAAAATACTCAGCTAAAATATTAGCAATTTATGCTGAGGCCAAGTAGCGCTTTAAATCTCCTGTGTCTGGGTGTGTGCCATAACACTCAAATACGTGTATTCTGGTTTTCAGAATCAAATCCATGAAGCAGTGGAAATTTCTGAAGATCACTTTACCAAATATAAAAATGATGGTGAATTCAAAGTGTGTTTGTAAGTTCCAGCACAGATTCACATCTTTTGTTTTCTTTCTGGGTGCTAGTACCTATCATTTTTTTTTGTTATGATAAGGATTCAATTATGAGGGCTTAGTAAATTTAATTGTAAACCCTGGCTCACATTTCTCATGATCTTCCACCTGAGGATATAGTCTAGTATGGTACAAAAAGATAAGAAATAGAGAGCATATCTAGAAATCTCTCAGATAAAGAAGACTGACATCCACCTTTTAGGCATCAGATAATGGATGTTTTTAATTGATGCCTGTAAAGAAGATCTTGAGACCACTCTAAATACAGGAGACCTCTACTTTACACTGTCTTTCTCTCTCTAAACCTTAATTTAAACTTACCATCAGTATGCACAAAGATGAAATTTTCTCTAATGCGTATGTTGACAATGTTCTCTTGACAAATGTTCTCTTTCTGTGAATGTGACTCAGATTGTCAGGGATTCACCATGCAAAGATATCCTTAGTTGCAAGTGACAATGATAGAAAAGAATTTAGCAGAGAGACTAAGGAGACTGCTCTAGATATATGATTTACAAACTTGAATATAATTCTGGAAAATTTAGAGTGGTAGCAGATAACCTACCTGAAGTTTTCCATGGTGTGATGTAAAAGCACTGAAATCCAATGCTGGGCTTGCAAAATGAATTCAAAAGCATGTTCAGCCTCTGACAGAAGTGTTCTGTCAATACAGAAGGCATAAGAAAAATTTGCAAAAGGGTATTTGTTAGTTTGCACACTACACAATTATCACTTCATAACTAGATGAACATATTGCAAGTGATGTCTTTTTCTAATGCATTGGACAGGAAAAAACCATTAGTATGTGACAAATATTGACTAAAACCAAAAAAAGATAAGCTAGTACTGCAACTCTTTTCCTCCAATTGAATTTAGAAGAGGGGGGAAAAGAAGGAAACATGCTATTCTAGCAAATGATCTTGTGACAATGCATGAAGAAATTGTAGGTCTATAAGCAATAACAGTTTTATTCTTATGAAATACAAAATCCAGAAAGAAAGTACATACAGAATTGTAAGAAAAGAAACAATATTTGACAGATATGACACACTGACTTGAGTTTTAACAGATTACAAACATAATTTTACTGGTAGGAAATTAGAAACATTGGAAAATGTTATGACTTTAAACACATTAAATCCAGAGTATCTGTAATGTAAAGTTTTGAAGAAACCAGTAATGATATTATGAGACTGATATTTGAAAAGCTGAAAAGTCAAATTCAATCTCATCTTTAATGCTAGTAAATTTTGGCATATCCCATGTGACAGGGATTCTATTTACCAAAATGCAGTTTACCAGGGTCTTGTAACTAGGTTATGTAATTAAAAAACTATGATTAAAAAAAAAAAGTTTTGTAAACTCATATATACACAGCAGGAAAAGTGAAAGGTCACATAATTGAATGTATTTATATCCACAAGATATGTAAATTGTATTTAACAGCAAAAGGCAGCAATATTTGGTAAACAGGATGTTGTGGTTTAAACCCAGCTGGTGACTAAACACCACACATTGCCTTGCTCACTCCCTCTCCATCCTTGTGGGACGGGGAGGAGAACCAGAAAAAAAAGGAAAAAGTAAAACTCCTGAGTTGAGATAAGAACAGTTTAAGAATTGAAACAAGGGGAAATATTATAACACTAATAATACTAATGATAATACCAATAATAATTATTGTATGAACAAACAAATTTTATGAGTGAATCTAATGAAAAAGAGAGAGAGAGAAATAAAACCCAAGAAAAAACAAGTGATGGACAATACAATTGCTCACCATGGCTAACTGATGCCCAACCCATCCCCAAACTGTGATCAGGGACTCCTGGACAACTTTGCCCCCATTTATATACTGAGTATGATGTTCTGTGGTATGGAATATCCCTTTGCCCAGTTTGGGTCACCTGTCCTGATCATGTCCTTCCCAACTTTTTGTGTATCTCCTCACTGGCAGAGCATAATACCCTGAAAAGTTTGTTATCAACATTATTCTCATACTCAATCAAAAAAAAGACACTGTACTACTTACTAAGAAGAAAAACAACTCTATCCAAGCTAAACCAGAACACTGGATCTTGTTCACATAATGTGTGTTACAAACACGTGTTACAAAATGCGACACCTACAGATGGAAAAAAGGCACCTTCATCTTTTCTTGAAAAAGGAGAAAGAAGATAGATTCAAAGTCAAAGAGGTTAGAAACAGATTATAGATGCAAGGGAACTAAACAACATCAAAGAATTCCTTAGGAAAAACAATACTTTAAATAAAACCTCCTGAGATGTTTTAGGGTATCAAGACAAAAGAATACAGATACTAATAGGATGCCGTAGACTTTATTTTAAACTTTTCATATCACCTATTTTCCTTTTAAGAGTGAGACATATGGATAGCTGGACTTTTAGAATCATAGAATTATTTAGGTTGGAAAAGATCTTAAGATCACTGAGTCCAATTGTTAACCTAACATGGCCAAATCCACTAAACCATGTCTCTAAGCGCCACATCTACAAACATTTTAAATACCACTAGGGACGGTGAATTAACTGCAAGGTTTATTTTCTAGTGTTTGTTCCTTCTTAAAGATTCATATTAGTTCTAAATTTTGACTTTTTATTTTTCAGGACCAGGAAGAGTACCGTGACTACATGTATCGACTTTGCAGAAAAGAGTGTTATTTGCTAGTTTGTCAGCTGAAATATCTGACTTTTGCTTTAGTAAACATATCATCTGGCTTTTGCTTTAGTATCTTTCGTGTAAGTGTCATGGTTACACTGAAGATGAGCACTACTTAAATAAGTTCAGGCAGTGCCCAATTGCATGCAAAGTATGATTCAAAGCTTTTATGGGTAAAAGCTATGCCATGGCAACTTTGCCAATCACCTGTGTATTGAAGTGCTCATGCAGACCCACCATTGAGGGTGTTTCTCAAGCACAACCTTCTGGCACCAGCGAACTAGAAATAGGTTTACTAACACTGTGGACAGTTGTTGATCTGCTGAGTCATGACAGAAAATGTACAGTAGCAAGGGGTAGCTTACGTTCCACCAGTACATATTTCTAATTTATGTTTTTGTCACCCAAGAAGTCCGTGATAAAAAACATTTCTTGCACAATGGAATTGGCATGGGATTGTATTAATTTTTCTTTTTCTTGATTGTATTCCAACAAGCCTAGTAAAACTTTAAGAGATCAGGGATAAGTTTTAAAAAAAATTAAGGGCTTGCTCTTTTGTGATGCCTAAGCATATCAAGTGAAAGGAAGCTATATTCTCTGAAACCACATGAATATAATAATTTCTTATAACACAATATTCAGGAAAAGGTATTTCTGTGCTAATTGCTCCTCATATTCTCTTCTACAAATTCATCCCCTTTTTTTTCTTTTTATAGCAGATCTAGACATTTGGATCTTTAAAACCAATTTAGTTATGTAAATGGCAGATTGAAGTGCCTTTTTTTCAGAGTTTGAGCAATGCTAGTTATTTATCAGTATTCTGCCAATACTGTCACAAGACTTTTCAATGCAGATTATTATCTTTCATGGACAGTGCCTTTATTATTTTTTGTATGGTAGAGATAATATTAGTGAATAGATTAAGAGGAGTTTTAGTTCTCCACCTTAATTTTCAATTTTATTTTTTATCCTTTCCTTTGCTCCACAAGTTAAAATCAACATCGCTGCGTCAAGAAGATTTGCTGTCAGCAATCTACTTCATGGATGCCAAGAGTGGCACATAGGTACAGTGTGAACAGCAAAGAACAGGGCTAATTGAGTACTGGGAGTTAAAACCTTTAAGGAAGAAAAATAATCGTGACAAAATTAGAGTGACGGATAATCTTTCTTTTCAGAGCCACAATACAGCTCATAAGCAAAGAAACAAATCTATTTTGTTTTGTGGCTATGTAATGCATATATTTTTGCATAAAATATTAACTGAATGGTTCAATAATTTCCTTACTAAATCAGTTACAAGTGACCTCCAAATGGCTACCTTTATTTAGTGCACAAATCCTTTCATAGGAATTAAAAATAGAGTGAAAAGAAGAAAAACAATTAGCCTGGCATGGATAGGATAGATAAACACTAGGACACAGAAAGGATGTTTCAGAAAGTTACAAAATTGCAACAGGGAGAGTTTATGTGTCAACATAGCCAAGAGGTTTAAAAAGGTATTTCATTCCACTGGTGTTATTTAGAAGACAAGCAGTTAAAATATATTTTATGTATTTTGTTAGGCAATTGCATATATCCATAAAGGACAAAACTAATCTTCTGGGTTCTGTATGGAAATAAAATCCAAAGTCACTGTGCCAGAGCTAATACTAAATAGATATTCATCAAATTATTTCCTCCTCTTTTTATGTTTAGCCTTCAAACAGGTGTGTGATAAACTGTACCCCCGCTTTTATAACAGAGAAAATAAAATTTTGTCAGACTCTCTTAGTTGGAGAGAAAATTTTCAAGTGTACATACACTTGGTGAAAATCACGGGAGAGCTGAGGGTGGTAAAGCGAAAAAGAAGACTGTGAGTTGGCAAGTGGCAGAAGAAAACCACTGGTTTCACAAATGGAAAAAAAAAAGAAATAAAAATATATTCTCCACTTCTGGTTCTGAACAGTGAATTTATTTTCACTTTCAGTTTAAGATTAACTCAAAAGAAGCCTATTAATTCAGGTTGGGATTTTACAGAGTCTGTGTTGGCTTATCTGTGCTTCCATTAGGAACAGCGAAAACTTTACTCTTCAACTCAATCAGCCTTAAAACATTCTTAACTGCTCTTGAAAATCTCCTGGTAGGTTACCTTAAGGATTTCCTACAATTGAAATAAAATCTGAATGCTTTGGAGTAGAAATACTTAACTTCTTATAATAGCCCACCCACTAAGTTCACTTGTCAATATGCTGCTAATATCACCTCAATACATAAGAGTACTAGAAAAGAGAACTACACTGTGCAGCATTATAATGCTTTTTCAGATGTAATCTACATATTAAAAGGAACATACAGTGGTGGTGGTTTGGTTGTTGGAGTTTTTTTTGTTGGTTTGGTTTTGGTTTTGGTTTTTTTTGTTGCTTTGTTTGGGGTTTTGGGGGGTTCCCTTTGGTGTTTGTTTTTTTCTTCTTTCATTCTTTTTTCCTCTTTGAGTTTGATTTTGTTCTTTTCTATTTTATCAAAGAAAACAAACTCAGGTTCATTTAGTCTTTTGTTTATAACAGCTCAGGATTCTATCTATGCTTTTCACCACATAAATTTCACTGGAGATATATAGATATGAAGTTGTAGATGTGATATAGTGTGCAATCATCCTTTCAGTGAAAGATTTGGTCATCCAACACATCCACAGCATAAGGGGGTTAAGAAGGATAGACAATCAGGTAAACAGTAGAATACATTGATCTCACAAATCTGGGTACAAATTACTGGCTCCCCTCTTTTGTAAAGACAGTTTCAATCTACTGACCAACAGAAGACCTCTGGCCCACAGAACATGGTCCTACATCCCAGGAGGGAGTCCTAGCTTCTAATTAAGTTGAACACAGTCAGCAGGCAGGGAAGGGGAGAACTTGGGAATGTGTTCACTTCTACTCTGTATGCTTAAAAGACCTTTTTTTCTTTATTGATACTGCTCTGATGGGAAATGCGTACCTGTTCCTGAAAACATGAGGTGTATCCAGGTAGGTGTCCATGCCACTAGGATACTTTCCTGATGGTTCTGCTGTCACCACAGTTCTTGCATTTTGGGCTACAAAGTGTCTTTCAGTGAAGATGTCTAATGACCTGCTGGTTACAGTACCCTGGGATGATTCCACTATGTAACTAGAGAGCAGTTACAGGCAAACTGAATTCTAAGTGAATGGATTTCCCATCGTTTCCTATGCATATAGGATTTTTACCTTGAGAAGCACTTAACCTGTTGTTACCCAAGTCCTAAGCACTTGAAATTTTGGTGTCAACCATCTAAGCCAGGCAGATCCCTTTCTATCCAGGGAAATCACCATGTAAATTTTCCAAACATAGCATTCCTCTGCAAACTTTGAAAGAGATGACACAATTGGAGAAGGCATCTACATGCATTTAAACAACTATTTCTCAATAGCTACCTTTGATTTATTATACAGTCCATTTCTAAAATAATTACACTATCTATTTTGCCATTCACATGGAGGATGTAAGGAAAGTGATCCTAGTAATTAACAGTTTAAATATCTTTTAATTCAAAACAACTGTTTCAGAATGAAGAAATAATTTCCAGCCAGGTGCTTGCTTAATCATTGTGTTAACATCATGTAGACGAGACTCCAGAAATTGTTTCAAGTAAAAGTAAAGTTGAAGAATTAGCCCTTCAGACTCAGTTTTCATAAGGTGGAAAAATTACATAAGCTTCATGTAATTCAGTGAATAAGTTTTCTGTTTTCTTCTGCGCATTCTTTCTCCAGGCTTTATCAGGAAAAATTAACTCTACTAAAACCTGCATGACTACTTGAAAATTTTGTAATGAATATGGTGCTTATGAGTTTGTATTGATTAAATATAACTTGAGGCTAAACCCAGTGTTTATTCACAGCAGAAGACTGTACTCATGAACAAAAATTTACCAAAGCCTGTATGGATTTCATCAACACTTTGTCATTACTGTCTTTTTTAATTTCTGTTCAGAAAATAATTAATGTTCTCTCACTTCTAATTTCTATTTAGAAATTTCTGTCCCACTAAAACATCTCTGAGTGAGAAGGCATTTTGTTTCAAAAATTCTTGGAGAATCATTTTCTCATGTAATAGGTACCCAGTTGGGCAGACATAGAGGGAGTATGTCATATAATCCTGCTCTTATGAGTTGTACTTAGAACATTTACAGGTGTTTTCAGTGTTAGCTGTTCATAATAACTAACTAATTAACATATTTATATTCAGCTAAATGTTGCTTTAGCTATCATTTTTACATAATTATTACTGATTTTAATAAACCTAAGCATGGAACTAGAACTCTCAGATCTCATTTTCCATTAAGTTCTTCAAGGTATGAAAAGCAAGGGAATGGCTGAGCTTGAATTTCTCCAGGAGTGATTTCTATGTCTTTTCCAGCATTCTACTTGACATAAAAGTAAGAAAAACATTTTTCTTTTAAATAGTATCTTGCATATAATGTTCATTAAGATACTTTCCTCCCAATAAACTTGTAATTGCTTCTAAATAATACTTGGGAAATAAACAAAAATGCAGTTTTCTAAAAGAATTTTGAAACAGTTATGACTATTGAATTGATTACATTTCCAAAATTTAGGAAAGAAGCTGTAAGAGAGCATTAGATTAGATGTTAGGAAGAAATTCTTTACTGTAAGGGTGGTGAGGCACTGAAACATCTTGCCCAAAGATTTGGCTGCCTCATCTCTGGGAGTGTTCAAGGTCAGGATAGAGCTCTGAGCAACCTGATCTAGTGGAAGGTGACCCTGCCCATGGTAGGATGGTTGGAACTGGGTGATCTTTAAGGTCCCTTCCAATCCAAACCATTCTATGATTCTATAATATTCACTATTATTTAATTTCCCCTCTGAAAGCCTGCACTAGGCTGCTAATGGCTGTCTTTAAACAATATACATAATAACTTAGTTCAAGATCCTTAAAAGTCTCTCATTTCTCAGTTATCCACTTTTCTCAAGATGCAGAAAGTATCCTCTACTAGAAACCAGGTAATTTCTCAGCATCTTGAAAAAGATGTATTTCTTTCTACGTTGCTTTTGGAATCTCTCAAGCATGTCATCTCCAGTATTATTTTGCTTTCAATTAATTCAATATTTAAATATTTTGCTCGTGAAAAGAGTTAGGACAGTGAGCAGAGGGGAGGAAACTGCATACAGTTGTGTCTTACTATGAAGCATAGGAACAGACCCCAAAACATAGATTAAAAGGCTATATTATCCTAACCTAGATAAAAACTATAACTCCTATGTCTACCTATGAATTCAGGAGATCCACGTATCTTTTCTCTTCCACATGAGAAACAAACATACTTCCACAGCTTTTTCATGTATAAGCTATAGACTGTTCATTCAAGTGTATTTTTGAGAATTAAGAAATGCAGATTTAATTCCTACAGAGAGAAAAGTGAGCTATCTTTAAGAATATAGCACACAATTCTTTATGACTTTGGCCTTTAGCTCCTTTTCCTCAGTTCTATCTCCTTAAAATATTGTGAGAATGATTACAATAAAGATAATGAGATACTCAGATGCTGTCATAAGGGGGCCTTACATACAGACTACTAAAATGGATAGGTTAAGATTAAACACTCCTCTGCTTCCTAATGATGTAATTAGAGAGCTTTTAAATTTAAATAAAACACCACTCAAAGTGTCTATCTCTGCTTTGTGAGTGACCTAGAAGACACATAACTGTGAAGATCACTAAGAGAACTCATTGAATAAAAATGCGAATAGTGAGAAACCAACCAGTGCTGTAAATATGAAAGTATATTCCTCTGTCACTTTTTTTCATTTAAAGAATTTCACGTTTCTCCTCTTGCAGTCTGAAATGGTTTTTTTCTCTTATGCTGAAAGCTTCCAAATCCTCAACAACTAAAATTATCTTTTCCCTCAATCCATGTTCACCTTATGGTAATACAGTGTGATAATTATAGCCTACAAGTAGCTGCACTGTTCACTGTGGCAACAAAGATTGGGGTAGATCCAGGCAATTTATCCTCTTGTATTAAAAAAAAAAAGAAAAGAAAAGAGTATTTAAAAAACTTGAAATATCACAGAACTTTTCTTTTGTTACCTATGAGGCTGAAAAAAATTTACATGGTAGGAGAAGGTCCACTGCCTGGGATTTCAATAATGGTATTTTGAAGTCAAAGACAACTGCTTCAATTATAGTGTATCTCACTCTCTTATTCTTGCTGAGCTATAATATAACACTACATAAAATCTTTATGTCACAGTAGATCACAGTGACTATGATTTCCAGCTTTCAAGCTTTTTCTTTCTTGTAAAATAGCTATAAAATACATTTGTTTCTGAAAAAGAAGGTAGCTGTGTAAAAGACATCTGTTCTATAATCAAGCAAAAATTTTGGTGGAGCAAAATCTACTACTGACAGATTATGGGGATATCCAAATTAAAAGTTAATGCCTCATTATTGGCCTGGTTTTGTAGAAATTTTGAGAGTAACTGGTTGTACCGGGTTTTCTTGAGAT